TATTTGGGTTGAAGTGTTCTGGAACAGTGTTGTAAATACAACTTAACCACTGATTTCTAGTCGTGTCCATTTTTGGAAGACCAAACAAAGTAGTTTCGCTTTCACAACAAAACACAGCGTCACACACGGTGGCCTAGAGTGAGCGGCGGCCTACAGTGAGCAGAGGCCGGGGGCTAGCGTGAGGAACGGCCGGAGGGTTAGAGTGAGCAGAGGCGGGTGGGCTTCTGGAAGGACATGTGATGACTCCGGGCTGGACTCCGCTTCGTCCACAGTGATATATTTATTATATGGATTATATTTAAATCCCTTGTGTCCATTTGAGCGCTCAGTCATAACCTTTCAATCACCACCGAAGTGTTTTTTATTTTTTTTTTATAAATGAACATAGCTTGATCTCAGCCAGTTCATTTCACCCTAATTTCTCATGCTCATATGCTCACATTACTCAGCGTGAGCACATATTCAAGCGGATCAGAAATTATGAATCTATTGAGAAAGTATTGAGTGGCAGTCCAGCAGGGGAAGCATACACACTGCAGAAATACTTCGAATGATGGTCATTGATATTACATTCTTATATGTATAGAAGCCATTAGGAGCGATAAACGCGTGCTTCTGACCGCACACTCACACAGCTAATGAAACATCAACCTTAGAAATAAACAACCGTAACATTGAGATTATGCTGCTGAATACAGCGAGCCCCAGTTGAAACGCATACACGAGAATGCTTGTTTCATTTAAACTTGTTCTCATGGCCTTAACTATCGGCGTGTCCTCAGAGCGATTACATGCTCTAGACTACATGTTGCTCCAGCTGTATGAACACAGATGCGTAAATGCTGCTGCAAATATGCTTTTTTCAATTAGCAGACCAGGTAATATACACAGCGATATGGATTAAAACAGCATTCACTTATCTTAGATGTGGATTTCAGATGTTCTGAAACACGCTGCAACAGTTGATTTGCGAACAGCGATACTTAATTTGCTCCGGAGCAAGCTGAAAAACTGCTGAATAATACTGAATACAGCTTATATAGGAATGCCGCGATAGGTGTCGTATTCCTATAGGTAGATGTGATCAGCTGAGAATCAGCTGATGCAAGCTTGACTCACGTGACCTGCCAGAACTAACGCTAAAGCTTAATTTCAAATAGATGGAATTTTTATTTTTATTGATTGATTGATTTTGTAAAAGCTAAAGGTGATGATGCCAGCAGTAAAGATTGAAAGTCAAAGCAATCTTTGTTACAGCGGGTAACTTCAAATGGCTTGGGTACGCAATGCATTCTTTACACGCACATAATCTAATGTTGATTTCAATCTCTTCCGAATACTTTATTGAACATAATGAAAATTACTTATTTAAATACTTTTAGTGGTAATGATGATAATGATAGTGGGCATCTGATTTGACTTTGAGAGTGTGTGTGGTAAAAACGGTATAAGTTTCCTCCACCAAGCCTCCTAACTCTGTGAATGGAAGACCAGTTTAAAAGCCCTCTGTGCACATACTGCCAACTACAGTGTACGTACGCACACATGGACATAATAGATTTAAAGTGTGAATGGCTTGTTTCTTCACATCTGATGTTTCTAACCACATGGATGTCAGCAGAAGTTGCCTTGCAAAAACAACTAGAATACAACAAACAACAGATACTTCCTTCAACCTTCAAAAAACAATGTGTAAAGAAATACTCTTAAAAAAAGATACGTTGTGTGGTTTTCTGAGAATCTTAAATTGTATTTATTTGGATTATTTGCATTATGGTGTTATTTGTTTTTTTCCCCTTCAGGCAGTGTTAAGAGAGTTTGCAAAACAAATTATGCTGTCCTGGGTTTATCTACATGTGTTATATAACAAAGTTTTCTCAATCAAGTTGCATTTCTTGTGCATTACTCCATCCTGAATAAACACATTTGTGAGATACTAGATTAAAAGTAACCACTTGCAAAATTACTTTTTCTGTACAGTAATTCTGCATTGACAAATATCATCATGTGTAGAGAAGAAACTATCTTTGTTCATTATGTAAATTGTGTAAAATATATGGCATTATAGAAGCATGCAAAAAGCTTATTTTCCAGTTAAATCGTCAAAGGAAACATAGCGATGTTCCATGACACTGGAACAGGTGAGGAAATGCAAAATACTCTTTCATATTAATTTTAGGTGATCCCAAGTGTTCAGTGCCAAATACAGGTAGCCTATAAATGATAATATGAGAAACATCAAACGGCAAACGAAACTGAAAGGATAACGAAACCGCACTACTCGTTTGAACTCTGCAGCGCTTATAGGCAAAGCAAGGCAAGTTTATTTATATAGCACATTTCATACACAATGGTAATTCAAAGTGCTTTACATAAAATACATGAAATAATAATAATAAAAAAATTATAATCACAACAATAAAACAAGGAATTTAAAACTTTGAAAACGATTTAAAAATTGATTTAAGAGGTTTAAAATGAATTTAAAACAGTTAAGAATAGAAAATGATTATACAT